GCCCCTATTAATGATCAAATTATAACCCTTCATGAGGGGCTTAAATATTTTAGAGAATTTCTCATGGATCCCTCAAAAATGGAGGAAGATACGGAGGATGGAAAATTATTCTTGAAACATTTTGAAGCTGTGACTAAAGAGTCATCTTCCTTCATACTCTCATTTTGGTCCGATGAAAATGCAAATGAGGCAATTGATGAAGCCAACTTTCAGTTGCTCAAGTTACTCGACAAGATTAATCTTGTCAAGGCAGAGATCTTTTTAGCAGAACTACAAAGCCACGATGCTAGCTGGATGATCGATATGAAGGATCCGGTTCAAACTCTTCAAAAGGTTCAAGAGGGGGTAAGATTTCTCAGGATCGTTCTCTTGGAGTCTCCTAAGGAGTTCAAGGAATTTGGCGAACAGATCTGGATGAAACTCGAAGCTCTGGCCAAGGAAGCCACATGTCTAGTTTTCTTGCTCGGTGATAATTTAACGAAAGAAGACATGTCCAAGGAAATGAACCGTTCGCTTTCCGATTTGATAGATAAAATAGTGCTTTTGAAGGCTGAGATCGGGCAAATTTATCTCCAAATTCCGCAGCCATATCCCAAGACTGATGATCTTGGCTTTCTAAGCTCGTTCTTGGGAAATCTGAGGGAGCTACTTGACTGCAATGCTATTTCAATTGCTTCTGCAAAGCATCAGCTTGACATGGTAAATATGGACTTGGACTTCCTCATATCTTTCCTCATAAAAAGTGTAAAGCAACATCATGACCATGAGGAACTGAAAGTTCTTCGGACTAGAATTACAAAAATTGCATATGAACTAGAATATGCTGTTGACTCGTTTGTGGTTGGAGATGGCCCCCTATGCATTCGTATGCTATGGCTTTCTGCTGTCATAGAAGAGATTAAACTTTTAAAAGCAAACATGATTGAGATTTCTGACGAGAAAAGGTTTGACTCTGAAGCGGATAGAGGTGCCGAGACCTCCAGTGAGGCACAATCACAAGCTAGTAGCCCAACAGTTGATGAGGTTGTGATAGGTTTCGAAGATGCAGAAAGGGGGGTTGTCGATCGACTAACAAGAGGAACAATGGAAAGGGATATCATCCCAATTGTAGGCATGGCTGGGCTTGGCAAGACAACTCTGGCCAAGGAAGTGTTCAATAACCCTACTGTTACCAGCCACTTCTATGTTCGTGCATGGTGCTGCATCTCTCAAGTATATAACAAGAGACAGTTACTACTTGATATCTTGAGCCAAATCAGTGAGACCACTGACCAAATCCAGAAAAAGGATGCCGAAGATGTGGCCCTAGAATTGCGCAAAAGGCTAAAGAGGAGAAGATATCTCATCGTCATGGATGATTTGTGGGATATCGAAGCATGGAACGACTTGAGAGATTCATTTCCCAATGATAACAATGGAAGTAGAGTTTTGTTTACCAGCCGATTGGAAGATGTAGCTTTTAAAGCTAAGTCAGGTTGCAAACCTTACTTCCTTCATCTACTTTCTGGCATTCAAAGTTGGGAGTTATTGGAATTAAAGTTGTTTGGACAAGAAGGTTGCCCTCCATCGCTGCTGCAAGTCGGGATGGAAATTGCACGGAAGTGTGACGGACTACCTCTGTCAGTTGTTGTGATAGCGGGTTTGCTTGCAACAACAGAAAAGACACCTCTTAGTTGGGAACAAGTTTCGAGAAATTTGAGCTCTCACATTGTTACGGATCCACAAATGGGGTGCCTGCGTGTACTGGAGTTGAGTTACCTGCACTTGCCAGATTATTTGAAGAGATGCTTTCTTTACTTTGCAGCCTTTCCGGAGGACCATGAGATTCCAGTATCAAAGTTGTCAAGGCTATGGATTGCAGAAGGGTTTTTGCAAGAAACTGGTGTTAAGAGATTGGAGGATGCTGCAGAGGACTGCTTACTAGATTTGATACATAGAAGCCTAGTTATCGTGGCCAAAACAAGATCAGACGGTAGGGTGAGATCATGCCGCATTCATGATCTACTGCGGAAGCTATGCCAGAGAAAAGCTCAAGAGGAGAACTTTTTCCAGCTTGTCCACGGGTATGATGAACATTTCGCCACTACTCCTGATGGTAAAGTTTACAACCTTGCTGATTCTAGGTGCTCTTTTTCCACAAATCCTCTGAAATACAAACAACGTCGGCTGTGCATTTGTTCCGAAAGGGAGCATTTTACCATGTTGAGGCCTTGTGGTCCTCGTGTACATAGTCTACTATTTCTGGCCTATAATGATTGGTTCCCAAGGTGCCCTTATGACATTTCATTCATTTCTAAAAACTTTAAACTTCTAAGAGTGCTGGATTTGGAGAGCATCAACATGGGTAGTTCTTTTCCCACTGGACTGGAACTACTTGTTCAGTTGAGATACTTAGCTCTCAGAGGAGCTGTAAATTCTGTTCCGACATCAATAGCTAAGCTCAGGAAGTTAGAAACTTTTCTTCTGAAGGGACTATCTGGCGAAGTTGAAATTCCGGACGCATTTTGGGAAATGGAAAGCTTAAGGCATGTCCACATAAATGACCGTGCTGCATTCATTTTGGATGACAATAAGCTTGAAACCCGATGTGTATTGGGCAATCTGGATACCCTTTCTACACCAGTTCTTCGTCCTGGCAGAGCTACAGAGAAAATAATGAGAAGGCTACCTAAACTTCGGAAACTAAGATGCATTTTTATGGAGTCATGGAATTTTCCGGTGCTGGATGTTCTGACTTCCCTCGAGTCACTCAAGATATTTTATCATGGTAGAGTTGCTTATCCTTGTCAATTTAGCTTCCCTGCAAATCTCAAGAAGTTGACACTGTCAAAGTTTCGCCTACCATGGACTGAAATATCAACAATCGGGAGACTACCAAACCTTGAGAGCTTGAAATTACTGTTTAAAGCTTTTGAGGGACGGGTATGGGAAACAAGGGAAGGAGAATTCCAGAATCTCAAATACCTGAAATTGGACAAGCTGGACATTGCTCAGTGGGAAGCTTCCAATGATCACTTTCCCTCCCTTGAGCAGCTAGTCTTGCAAAGATGTACGCAGCTTGAGGAGGTGCCATTAAGTTTTGGGGAGATCCCCACATTACAGATAATTGAGGTGCATTGGTGTGCCGAAGCTGCTGCTGTTTCTGTCAAGAAAATCGAGGAAGAACAAAGGGACTCCGGAAATGAGGAGCTCAAGGTCCTTATTTCCGGACTGGAGATATAGAAGCCCTTTCTGTAGTTTCTTTCTCATGTCGACAGGTAACTTCATCATCTCAATCATAAACTTCACTAGTCTTGTTACTTTTTCTCTTTCTCGTGTAGCACCTCTAACAGATGAAATTGATAAGGTTGTGTCCTAATCGGGTTGGTTTCTTGAATTGAAACTTATGTCAAAATATGGTAATTTCAAATAGTTTTAACCGCATTCAAAAGAGTCATCTTCAATACAAGCAGCTATACATGGAAAAGGCAAAAGAATAGTTCGCTCTGTGCACTGTGCTGATTCAGAGTTCGAATCTTGAGTTTGTCAGTTGGGAGATGGCAAAAGTGTGTATAGGAGTAGGGGGTAAATATATATATATATGGAAAATATTTATTCCCTAATTTTAAGGATTTCAAAATTCATGACGGGGTGTGAGGACTATAGGACTACTGATTCTTCGAACATCAGGGATTGTTGTGATGAAGAAGAAAGTGCATAGGCTTTGGAACACTTAAGAACTCCAACCAATAGTCTCGGAGAATGCTAAAAAAATTTTTTCTTTTTTATGCATTGAAATTGATTACTAAAGCCAAAAATTTTAGATTTTCATCTAATAATGATCCTTTTTGAAAAATCCTATTAGTCATCTTTATGCAAAATATGCTCTATAAGTTTGTTTTGCTTGGCAAAATTTATGTATGTTATGTTATTGATAAACTAATTAATTTCTTTTTGTTGATGACAAAAGAAATAAAAAGATGGTGCTATAGAGGATAACTATGGAAAAACAAATTTGTGATAACAGGTCGAACTGCAAATCAATCATGGTACTAGTTCAATTCACTGGTCAATCTAAAAGATCAATTGAACTAGTCAAATCCAATCAAGAATGGACTGAACCAATCAAAAACCGGTAAAAATCATATCTTTAAACCAGTTCATACTATTTTTTTTAATTTTAAAGTCATCTAATTTACATAATAAATAAAACAATAAAAAGGTATTTGAACCGAGTTGAATAGTAATCCAGAAGCTCATCTGATTCATTTAATGGTCCGAGTTTAAAAACAATGGTAATATGTTGATCTATTAACACAAATTCTGAGATAAAATTAACCGCTCATGAAATGAATTCCAAAAAAGGAAAGCAGAAAGAATACATTTCTTGAAACATTTAATGCCCACTGTGTTGAAATTTAGTTGAATCTGAATTTACCATTCGTGAATAATTTTCACTTCAATTTAATCGACGTTAATGCTGTGCTTTCTGATTTGTGACAGGCTGACAGCAATGGAGAAAATTTTTAGCTGAAGGCAGGTTCCAGATTAGACTATTTTCCCTCTGCTTTTCTTGGCTGCATTTCCGACGTTACTTTATTCTTCCGCTGCTTATCGTTACCGTCTTTCCTCCTGAAGATGATCAAGAAGAAATGGCACTCTCAAAGTTCCTATCCTGCTTGGATCAGATTTCCAGGGTTCTATGTTGCACGTTTGTTGAGGTTTTTAATTTCAAAGTTTCGCATATTAATTTGAACTTGCAGACTCTATGCTTCACGATTGAATTTGATTTGCTGTATCATTTCTCTTTTTCCCCAAAATGACTTTTTGTTTTTTGGGTTTTGTTAGCATGTAAGGAAATTTGTGGCCTGTCAGAAAGAAAGGCGCAATTACAACGATACAAATGCCAGCAGACCATTTTCATTTTCTCTATGTTTTCTCCTTTTGCTAAGTGGACCGAAACTATGTACCCTTTCATGAATGCAAATGAGCAGGATCATAACACAGGGATGAGAAAGGGGTGGGGCGTCAAGCACCCAACGATGCACAAGACTCTTATATTAAGGCACAATCGATAGCATCATGGTAGAAATCCATTGCAGGCATGACTCACATGATTGCCTTACAAGAAGAACACTGTATAAGCATATTTTCATGGGCTAAACAACCTTTCTGCGCCTACTAGTGCTGATTTTGCTGCATAAAACTTCTACCAAAGCTTCCAAGTTCCTGGGAAATAGGCATGCAGCTACACAAGAAAGCTACAGAAGAAACAGGTGAATTAAACTAACAAGTTTCTTCCACTTGGTGAATGCGAAGTGACGAGCCGACTTGTCACCGCTGGCAATACATTGAAGCTAACAAGTATGATCATCCTTAGAGCAGCAGCTCTTTGGGGTTTGCAATGCGTCCTAGATAAGGTCACGGGTAGCTGCTGGCCGTGTACGGAAATGTTCACGATTATGGATCATACTCTGAACAGTTCCAATTGGCAGCACGACATTCATTGGAAAGCAACGCCCAGAACTTTCTTAATCACAATACTAGTTGGCTAGAACCAATTTGACACACTGAAATCTCTCAGCTTACTCAGGTGTCTTTCCATGTCTTGCCTAGTTTTGCTCCATTCTTCCTTCTCTATCACATCTGTTGGAGTATCTCTTTCATTCTAGGACAAACAAGATATGTAAGTCTAGCAGCTGAAGTAAAAGCCACCATAAATAAGTATAAATCCGAGATAAAAAGAACAGTTACCGGAGGAATTATTCTGAAGGAATTTCCATTGTCACGTATAACAAGCAGATCATTCCTCCTGTCCCTGTTTTTCCCGTCTGGTACAGTCACCTAGTCCGGAGGAAAAAACCATATTATGTTGATTTGTCAAGCCTATATGTCAGGACAAAGCACCTATTGTACCGGACATCCCTTTTTTACCAGTACAATAGTATAAGCTTTAGTGTAAAAATTTGTCTTCATACTCCAGCCTAAGAAGCACAGAATTTCGATGAAGGCATTCTGAGAAGGTAAACTCAAAAGCAAGACTTAAACCATTAGTTCAAAGCCCATACGATTCCTTACCACAACTTTAGCTCTTGTTATTGATTTTGTCTTTGAATCAATTACATAAATCTCCTCAAAATCAAGCATGAAATCAGGATCACCAGATCTGCGGTTTCTATAATGCTTCGTCAGGAAAATCTGCAATAAAACACAATCATGCTATTCAGGAAGGAAGATATTTTAATCATGGCTCAACCTTGTCACAGCATAAAAGGAACACCAGACTTGTTTAAATAGGTTGTAAAATACAAAATAATAGGAAAACAAAAAAAGGGGTAGTTTTGATGATTTTGTATTCAAAATTGCTCAAACAACCCTTCAGAGTTGACAGGGAATAACATTTACTTAACTGCACAATAAACCAAAAGAATTGGTCAAATATAGGAAATAGAAAGACAGATTTATTTAACCAACAATTCCATAGACAAAAACAAATTGAGAGAGACAAGTGCATATCTTTCACTAAAAATTCTAAAGGAGATAATACATTGAAGCGAAACAAGCAAAGCAAAATGGTGGCTTATTAAGGAAACAACAATATGACGTAGATGTTTATATCAATAAATCAGATAATATTTTTAGCGTACCAGCAGGTAGAAATCCGCAAATAACATTTCAACCAATTTAGGTTAGGCACACTCTAGGATATCTTTACAAGTCAAGTTTCGTGGTGAAGGATCAAGAAACAGAAGCAAAGATAAACAAAGGAGAATATGGAACAGCTTATTTGGAAATCCTATTGATCCCCATATCAAATTTGAGTTTGAGGATGATTTTTCCAACTTGATGAGAATTGACACGGGATGACTTTTAGTTGAAAACGAAATTACTGTGTACACAGACTAAAGCAACACTTTAGGTCCAGGCTAGGATACTGCAGTACCTCCACATTTCTGGACTTCGAATTACAACTTCCTTCCCTAGTTTGCTCAGAAATGTTGGCTTAAATATATTAATGAGAGCTTCCAACAGAGTAGAATTTTAGGAGCAAGAACTTCACATGTATTCCTAGTTATGGCACTACCAAGTTCTTTGCATTTTACGAGAACTCGACACATCATGAGCTCTTTCTTTCCAACAACTTTGGCTTACCCTTCATGAGCTACAATTGAAGGTCTAATGGCCTCAAAACCTAGAACTGAGCTACAAAACTATACACCTAGTACCACATTTGTTGATCATCAACTGACATCAACAACGATAGAAAGTATCCTCTAAAAAGGGGAATAACAATTGATAAGCACAGAAAAATACTACAGAAATAAGCAATTTTTACATAAATGTTCTCTGCCACTCTTAAACAATTTGGGCCTCGCACAAACTCAAATATACTGACATCAACAACGATAGAAAGTATCCTCTAAAAAGGGCAATAACAATTGATAAGCACAGAAAAATACTACAGAAATAAGCAATATTTACATAAATGTTCTCTGCCACTCTTAAACAATTTGGGCCTCGCACAAACTCAAATACTACTCACTGCCTAACAAAATGGAAATATCGAACTATACAAAATTCAAATTTTTGATAAAGTTTGGAAGCAAAGCTGCATCAAAATCTACAGGAAAAGCTGCATAATGCAAACTGTATCCCACACATACCTTCAAGACCTCCCTCTCGGATTTATACATGGGATCTCTGGGTGCATCAATAGGTGGCTCTGTTACATTGTAGCATCCATAATCAGTCTGTGCACATCGAATGTACTACAAAACAAAGAGAAACCATTGAAGTGAGCAAATCAATCAAATTTTGGCATGGCTATACAAAAGTAACTAATATGATCATATTCTACATTAAAAGCTGAAGATCCTCAAATCTATCATTACCATATTGTACCAAAGGTGGAATAAGCATACAACCTATAGTACATTGTCTACGTACACATAAAAGATCCTGAAAACCATTGCATACCTTTTGAGGCATTGGAGCAAGAACCTTTGGGATCGCATATACATCTGTGTCAGGAGGCGTGACATACATCTGCACATTGCAAAATGAAACCTCATACATCCTTTAACCATACTCATTAGTCAAGAAAGAAATCTACAATCTTTACTGCAAAGCGTACAACACTTTGGAAAAATGATTTTCGTCCCTTATTTTTTTAGCACTAAGAAGCTCACACTGAAACTAACAACGCCCATGGGCAATATCAACAAAGAAATCACATAATACAACTGTTACAGAATAATGTACAACAGAATCTACATCACAACGTGCTAAAACTTTTACAACATACTATGCAATATTTAAGCCAGAAGGTACCTTACTACTATTCAGCCCAAAAAAAATTCACAGGGTACAACTTTGCAGCATAATGTACAACACAATGTAGCCAAAAGGTACCACTACCCTAGAAGAGTGAACAATGCTGAAAGAGAAAACTCTCCTACCTCCCGGAAGTCGTAAACGTCGTCGTCGAGGTCAGGAGGTTTCCGAATAAAGAAATCACAGTCGAGCAAACAAATTTTATGAAACTCCTCTTCATTAATCCTATATTCCACAATCTTCTCGGAATCCCAACCCTGAGTAGAAATAAAGCTCTTGCTCTGAACTATCAGAATGTCATCCTCTCCTCCGGCCGCGGCTGCGGAAATGGCGGTGGTGGTGTCGTAGTCAACGTCGAAGTCTTTCTTGTTGTCTACTTCCTCGGCTTCTTCGTCGTCCATGTCGTAGTCGTCGGGGCTGCCGCTGTCCCCGTCTCCGTCGTCGGCCCAGACCCGAAAGTCTCGTCTGCTGGAGATTATGGGCTTTGTAATTGGCAGGTGAATAGTGGGGGACTTAACTGAGGTGGTGATTGGGGGTAGTGACGGTTTAGGAGAGAAAATGGGGAGCAGTGGCCGTGGCGGTGGTGCGAGGAGGAGTTGCGTGGTGATCATGGTGGTTTTGGGAGAGGGAAAGGGAATGATTTTTGTTTGGGATATTTGTGTCAATTGTGTGCTGTCTCAGAGGGGATAATGTTTCATTTTGGGCGGGATTGGATGCTGCTGACGCAATAACTAAAGTTAGGGAATTTCGCCAATTTGGTTTCCAAACATTTTCATTAAAATTAATTTTGTCCTTGATAAATTATTTTAACCAATTTAGTTGGTGAAGAAGTTTCTTACATCCAACGTAGGATTTTTCACTGATGTGGACCTACAGGGGCATAATCATCACACTAGTCTAATCTTTTGCAATTAATCAACGAACACCTCACCCATGGGATTAATCTAAAAAAAATAGAATGTAATTGGGAGAAATTGGGGGACGAACTAGGGTTTCGATAAAATCACAATGGAGGCTAGAATCGAATCGAGAACATCGCAAGTTCTGCAGTGGACATTGGCGATGGTGACAAGGATGGCAAAAATCAATCAAAGTCATCAACAAGATCAAGTAAGCCGTAATTTCAAATCTAACTCTCTCTACCCGTATGTATTAGTTGGTCGATTTTAGTGCCACTAGTGTGTTGAATTGGTGAAATAATATATAATGGAAGGATTTGAGGGAGGGGGTTTAATTTTCCAGTATCGTATAGTTGTGGTGGGGCATGAACGGATTCGGAAATGGTGAAATTTTTTGTTAAATTACATATAGATTTCCACATGGAAAAGAAAGTATTTACTTTGGTTATGGTATACTTCTGAAATTTTACTTTGTTTGCTTATGATTTGTGATGGTGAAATTTTGATAATTATTAAATAAAATTGTATGTTTGTGACTGTGTCGGCGAAATTTGGTATTTTTTAATATGTTTTTAAAGTAACTTTTGTTTGTTTTGTGAGCTGTGATGCGGTCCCTTTGCCTTTAAATTATAGTGTGTCGTAACTTTCATGTTCATGAAAAGTTACACATAGTTGGGACCAAGGTTCTTTATTTCTAAAGAATGAAGGAATTTTTGTGTTTTGTTTTTTGTTGGAAATAAAAAAGCAAGTTAACATGTGGACTATTTTACTTTGACAGTGCATTATGGCGGTGTATATATTAAAGATCCATAAGAGACATATGTAGGGGGTTGCATAGAAACATTTGAAGGAGTTAATCCAATGAGAGTTAGTACATCAATTTTGCATGACTTCTGCACTCTTGTGGGCTGTTCGAATGATTCAAAGATGATGTATAGAATCCCCTGTGAAACTAATGTGCTCAAGCTTTGGCTAATAGATGGTGAGGATCCTGTTTGCATTGGTAAAAAATATGCAGAAACTGATGTGTATGGTGTCCATGAATTCCACATAAGAGATATTAATAGCAACACTGGTCCAAGCGCAGTAATTGCTGAGAAGATTCAACAAGAAGAAGATGGTTTACATGTGGATATAACCTTTGATGATGTTGAACTAGTTGACCTCAAAAACATACCAATTTATGTGGAGTAAATGATGGAGCATGTAAAGTCCAAAAATGGAAAAACAGAGGCTGCTGAACACAGAGGAAATGATGATAAATGTAATCGAGCCGAGTCGAGCTCGAGTATCACTATACTCGAGCTCGACTCGACTCATACACACAGAAACTCGAGCTCGACTCGAGCTCGATCGAGCCCGAAAATCGATACTCGAAGATCGACTCGAAGAATTTCCTTAGGCTCGAGACTCGACTCGATAAGGCTCGATCTTTAATCGAGCCTTATCAAGTCGAGTCTTATCAAGCTTTTTGACTCGATTTGACGAAAATGCAACAAAGCAGGGACCTAATTAAGGGACTTGTGATGGTGTTGGAGGCAAATATGAAGCTCAGGAAAAGACAGGACCAAATCACTAAACAAAAAGAAAACGGAGGGACTGAAATTGCAATTTTGGACAAGTGATCATCTTCTCCAACGAGCAAATATCAATTACCATTCAGCAACCAGAAATCTGGCTTCAATTTCTAACCATTCCAACAAACAATGAGACTCACAACACTCCCTCTCATAACATCAATTCGAATTCACTCGACCGGAAGCATAAGGAGCAGAAAAATGTAAGACATCAACACACCAAAAATTCTTAGATGCGAGGAAGTGAACTGGCCGACTTGGCCAGTATTTTTCATGTGCAAAAATGCAGACCAATCACCCTTCAACTAAAACTTTCAATCAAGCATTTTGTCGAACAGTAAATGGGCATTAAAATTTTGCCGGATTCTCACTCAAATTAAAGCAATAACTAGCCCAAAAATGATCAGAAACCAAGACATTCAGCTCAATCAACGTATGCGGCATGTATATTCAAAAGCATGAGGCCAATCTTTCTAACGGGTAAAAGGTGGAATTTTTCACCAAGGCCTTAACTTTTAAAGGCTGCACAACTGGAGAGAGCTTCTTGTGTATAAAATACAAAGCTTATGTTATATCACACCTAATCTAAACTACTACAACAGTTAGAGTTTGCAATTGGAAGCTCAGATTTCGTCCCCTTATCAATTCAGGATAACAAGTTTCCTAGTCGATCTTGGCCCATTTTAATGCCAGAGACACAGAGCCAAAAACAGAGGAGCACTTACCTAAGTGAGCCAGAGATGAGCAGTGATGAACCAGCGATGAACTAGTGAGATCTTGGTGCTTCGTCTTCGACACTCGGCAGCGATGAACCAGCACGGCAGGACACAGCCGACAGGAGACGTACAGCGCGGCGGACTGGCGGAGGCAGGAGAGGCAGAGAGCAGCTTCGATTTGGGACTTGGGACTTGTTAAGGCGATGGCGATGGCGATGGAGTCTCACAGATGCGGCGAGCAACGGCGTCGGCGACGAACGGAGTGAGGGTGTAGATTGGTAAAGTGAATTTTTTTGCTAGGCTTCGAACAGAGAAGAAAGTCGCACAGTCGGCACAGAGAAGGAAGAAAGTCTTTTCTTCCTTTTTTTTTTTAGACATTTTTTCTTTTTAGTGTTTTTTACAATTATGTTATTACTTTTTTGCCATTATAGGATTTTATTATAAAGAAGGTAATATTGTAAATTTCATATAACTTATATCCATAATAGTCATTTTATAATTATAATAAATATATATTATTTAAATTATAAATATTTTATTTAATTAACTCTGGCTCGTCGAGCTACTCGACGAGCCACGAGCTCGGAAAATGGAGCTTGATACTCGACTTGATTTGGAGTCGAGTTACTCGAAACTCGACTCGAACTCGGTCAACCCGAGTTCGAGTCGAGTTGTTGATCGAACTACTCGCGAGCTACTCGGCTCACCAACAACTCTAATGATAATGGGCCTGTTTGGCACCCTAGTTTTTTACCAAGTTTTTTAGCTACTAGTTTTTTAACAACTTTTGCTACAGGAACCCCCAAAAAACTTTTCAAAGTTTTTTACCTACACACTTCAAAAATCTAGGGCCTGTTTGGAACCTGAGTTTTTTGGGAGTTTGTCTAAAACTTTACTGTAGTGCACTGTAGAAGTTTTTGAAAAAATTTTGTAGAAGTGTTTGTAAGGTGAAAAACTTTTTTGTAGAAGTTTTTGAAATGTTACTGTAGACGTTTTTTGGATTATTTTTAGAGGTATTTTTAAAACATATTTTTGAGTATTTTATAATTTATAATTTTTATACTTTTATATTCTTAAACATTTATGCATTTATAAATATTTAGAAATAAATATAAATGTATAAATGTATAATTAATATAAATGGATAAATTATAAATGAATATTATATAAATGTATAAATTATAATTTATAAATGTATATGATGATTATGTATAAATGTATTAATATAATTAATATAAATGTATAAATGTATTAATATTATGTATAAATGTATAATTAATATTGTTTATAATTTATAATTTTTATTGTTTAAATATTTATATGCATTTATAAATATTTATAAATAAATATATTTATATATTTATATAAAAATATATAAATGTATTATATTATATATAACACATAATATACATATATTTATAAATGTATAAATGTATAATTAATATAAATGTATATATTATAAATGAATATTATATAAATGTATAAATTATAATTTATAAATGTATATGATGATTATGTATAACTGTATTAATATAATTAATATAAATGTATAAATGTATTAATATTATGTATAAATGTATAATTAATATTGTTTATAAGTTATAATTTTTATTGTTTAAATATTTATATATATTTATGCATTTATAATACATTTATAAATAAATATATTTATATAGTTATATAAAAATATATAAATGTATTATATTATATATAATGCATAATATAAATATATTTACAAATGTAATAATTGTATATTATTATAAATGAATATTATATAAATATATAAATTAATATGTTATAAATGTATAAATATATAATATTATGTATAAATGTATTAATATAATTAATATAAATGTATAAATATATTAGTATTATGTATAAATGTATAATTAATATTGTGTGTTAATATTATGTATAAATGTATTATGTTATACATAATACATAATATAATTGTATATAAATATACATAAATATATATACATAAATGTGTAATATATATAATATGTATTATATATATTAAATATATAATATATAATATTTATATAAATGTATAATTACATATTTATATTAATATTAATTTATATGGTATATAATATTTATATAAATGTATAAAAATATATTTTAAATAAAATAAAATATTTATAATATGTTTAAATATATATATAAATATATAATATTATAAATATATAATATATATAATAAATTTTTGAGGGTGAGGGACTCAAAAATTCAAAAAAAATTTTTGAGGTTGCCGGCGGCGCCGGAATAGGTGATCGGCTCTAGGAGAGGTGGTGGAGGCGGTGTCTGGTGTGGTGGGTTGGGTGAGGGAGGAAGAAAATTTTTTGAGAAATTTTTTGTGTATAATTTTTGAAGTGTGTAGGTAAAAAACTTTGAAAAGTTTTTTGAGCTTCCTGTAGCAAAAGTTGTTAAAAAACTAGTAGCTAAAAAACTTGGTAAAAAACTAGAGTGCCAAACAAGCCCCTATACACAAAAAATTTCTCAAAAACTTTTCTTCCTCCCTCACCCAACCCACCACATTAGACACCGCCTCCACCACCTCTCCCGGCGCCGGTAACCTCAAAAATTTTTTTTGAATTTTTGAGTCCTTCACCCTAAAATATTTATTATATATATTATATATTTATTTAAACATATTATAAATATTTTATTTTATTTAAAATATATTTATATAAATATTATATACCATATAAATTAATATTAATATAAATATGTAATTATAAATTTATATATATTATATATTATATATTTAATATATATAATACATATTATATATATTGCACATTTATGTATATATATTTATGTATATTTATATACAATTATATTATGTATTATGTATAACATAATACATTTATACATAATATTAACACACAATATTAATTATATATTTATACATAATACTAATATATTTATACATTTATATTAATACATTTATACATAATATTAACACACAATATTAATTATACATTTATACATAATACTAATACATTTATACATTTATATTAATTATATTAATACATTTATATATATTTATATATTTATAATATATTAATTTATATATTTATATAATATTCATTTATAATAATACACAATTATTACATTTGTAAATATATTTGTATTATGTATTATATATAATATAATACATTTATATATTTTTATATAACTATATAAATATATTTATTTATAAATGTATTATAAATGCATAAATATATATAAATATTTAAACAATAAAAATTATAAATTATAAACAATATTAATTATACATTTATACATAATATTAATACATTAATACATTTATATTAATTATATTACAGTTATACATAATCATCATATATATTTATAAATTATAATTTATACATTTATATAATATTCATTTATAATATATACATTTATATTAATTATACATTTATACATTTATAAATATATGTATATTATGTATTATATATAATATAATAAATTTATATATTTTTATATAAATATATTTATTTATAAATATTTATAAATGTATTATAAATGCATAAATGCATATAAATATTTAAACAATATAAATTATAAATTATAAACAATATTAATTATACATTTATACATAATATTAATACATTTATATATTTATATTAATTATATTAATACATTTTTACATAATCATCATATACATTTATAAATTATAATTTATACATTTATATAATATTCATTTATAATTTATACATTTATATTAATTATACATTTATAAATATATGTATATTACGTATTATATATAATATAATACATTTATATATTTTTATATAAATATATAAATATATTTATTTCTAAATATTTATAAATATTTATAAATGTATTGTAAATGCATAAATGTTTAAAAATATAAAAATTATAAATTATAAAATACTCAAAAATGTGTTTTAAAAATACCTCTAAAAATAATCCAAAAAACGTCTACAGTAACATTTCAAAAACTTCTACACAAAAATTTTTCACCTTACAAAAATTTCTACAAAATTTTTTCAAAAACTTCTACAGTGCACTACAGTAAAGTTTTAGACAAACTCCCAAAAAACTCAGGTTCCAAACAGGCCCAATGATGCTGCCCATTCGGATTCATCCCTTGGTGAAAACATCCACCACAGTGATTACGATTTTAGTCATGATGATGAAGATATGATATTCTATAGTGGCATTGCTCCTCCTGAGCAAGAGTTAGGGGGTTGAATTGGAAGATTCAACCTAGTGGTAGAGGGAAAAATAGGGGCAAGAAGGGTAAAAACCATAAAATTCCAACACCTGTAGCTAAGAAGAAAAAACCTAGGGCCAAACCTACTAGTTTTAAGGACCTGCACTTGGATGAAGGAGATCATATTCCGATCCATGAAGAATTTGAATCACTTGGCTTAGATGAGTTGAACAGTGACCACTCTTCCTCAAATGAAGACAGTAGAAAGAAAAGGAAGCCTAAGAAGCCTAGTCTAGTAAGGTTCAGGCCTGAAGTTAACATGGAAGATCCTAAATTCCATGTTGGACAAGTCTTTGATGATAAAAAGTTGTTCAATTTAGCAATGGACAACTACATAGTCAAGTGGGGCAAAGATATTTAGTAGGAAAAATAAGATGCCACATGGATGAGAGTTAAATGCAAGGCAGAAGTTTGTGAATGGATGCTGTTTAAGATTGAATCAAGTGATGACTACCTTGCGATGAAAACTGTGGGACCTGAGCACTTATGGCCGGACATTTTACCACGAAAGAGCCACTTCAGATTTTCTAACTAGAAAGTATGCAAAATTTTTAATGTTGAATAAGAAAGTGACTGTTAAGGAATTTAAGGAGAAGGTGCATTTGGAACTTAGTGTACACATCACCGTACTACAGGTCTACAAGATATTCATGAAAGCAAAGAATTTAGGGAATGAAGTTTTCTTAATATAGATCTTGCAATTGTAATTATAGTGTACTGATCTTGTAGGGGAAGCATAGAGAATGAACCGGGTCACTGTTTTGTAAAAGTCTGCCTATGTTACCTTGGCTTGTATTTGTTGGCTAGACATGAACTAAAAGCTTGGCATTGATCTCTTTGGACGACTAGAACATGTTGGTTATATGAAAACTTCCTATTGTCTTTTTTTGGCTAGACATTTGTCGAGTGTTACTTGGTTTAGTTATGTTAACGGAATATCAAATTTTAAGGTGAAATTCTGTCAAATATTTTTTAGACACCAAGTTGCCATAGCCTTTGCATATATCCAGATTTCTCAATTTGTCAAACCATTGCATATATTACTTAGACAATTGCTACATCAAATGGTTTACAATGCCTTACAACCACACTATAACCAAAAAAATTAAGGCCAAT